TTTCCCATTTTCAAATCACCAGTCATAGAATTAATGCCAGTTCTCTGTAAAAATTTATTTTTAGACCACCCTAAAGTAGCAGCTTCATTAGATTATTCATATCCACTTTGTACTAAACCAAGTAAATTAGTATTGTTAACCTGGAATTGGTTATGTCTGATTCTAGACCCGGGTATGGAATATTTATTAAAGAACTCAAAGTCCACTGCATCTCCATTGGCTGTTGCTGTTGCAAGATGAGTAATTTTATTATTAGACATATTTAGTGGTCCAGCCATAACTCCACTGGACTTATCCAGGAATTTATTTTCTGACCAAACTTTTGTAGCTGGTTGATTATCACCATCTGGTTGTGCTACATTATAAATCCTATTGCTATTCATATCCAAATTGCCGGTCATTAATCCACCAGAAAGTGATAGTTTAGTATCAAGTTGATTTTTTGTTACGGCATCATTGGAAGCAGTTCCTTTAGCCACACTTGTCAGCTTTTTGTTTGATATTTCGTAATTCCCATCTGATGTGAGATTAAATCCAACACCTTTTGGTCCTTGATCACCTTTGGGTCCTTGGTTACCCTGATCACCTTTGGGTCCTTGGTTACCCTGATCACCTTTGGGTCCTTGAATACCCTGATCACCAGCGGGGCCAGGTGGGCCAGGGGGTCCTTGAGGGCCAGTAATACCGCGTTTTTCTTTCGTTTGTGATTGATTATAATTAGGTTGTTGATTGAAAATTCCCATTTTATAATAGTATATTAGATATTTCCATAAAAGTTTCTTTTGACAGTCTTCATTGGTTTATCAACATATAGGACTGAGTAGGGTTTTGTTGCTTTAATATACTGATCCTTTGTTACATTCAGGTCTCTAGAGATCATATTTCTCTCATTACTGCTAGGGAAATCATAAAGAATATAATGACTGCAGTTCAATCTGATATCTTTTGGAGTTTTATAAAATGATTGTGACAGGTAAATAACACTGCAGTTCCTATGACGGCCTTGAATAAAATAATCGATAAGCGGCTTTTGGTTTTTATCACAAATGAAGTCATCGAATATTACAATTTTCTGGGTATCACTTTCCAGACTATTGACAGGTTTAATGTCATCATTATTGCAGTACATTATGTCATATCCAACCTGGCAATAATGTCATTCATTGTTTCTATCATGTGTCGATACTTTTCCTGTTCCAAGTTTTTACCGTATAAATGGATCTGATCGTAATAGACTAATGGTTTCATAAGGATGTGAAAAAGTAAGTTTGTTTTGCCTGACCCTGAATTGCCACATATAAGCATCCGGAAATTGGACTTGGGCATATACTTGTACAGCTGTTTGAAGTTTGTATTTTCATCTTCATTGAAATCATAATTTGGAATCTCCATATAATATTATGTTAGATAATTCAAGATAAGTTCAGATAAGTTGAGATAAGTTTTATATAACACAATAGTATAATGGATATACAAAGATTCAAGAGACTCAGTATTCCTAAAATTGAAGAAGGAAAAATGACTGAAGTTGTTAGGGATGTTATAAAAGAAGTTCGAACTAATAAGCAGAATGTTTACGAAAAGACGTCTGAAGACTTGAAACCTCTAACAGAAAAGTTTGATAAGGAAATTGACGAAATCAGTAAATTGAGAGAAGATGTTAATAAACAAGTTATCCCCTATGATGAACAAGTTCAAAGATTAGCATTACCAGGCCCAAGTGGTGAGGTGGTACCCAAAATGATAGATGATATGAATAAAGGATTTACTCAAGAAGAATTGGCATTCATACAAAACCAGCAATTGCCATTACCAGCTGACATCTTTTTGCAAACCTTAAAAGAGCCAAATTATGCGAAACAAATTTTAGATAAATCTGGTAAAATAAATAAGGACTTGGGCCAGAAAAAAGCCAGTTTAAACACAACAAAAGCTAACAGAAAGAAAAATAAGGATGAAATTGCTGAGTATACTGAAGAAATTGATATCATAAGAAAATACAGACAAAGAATTGGTATTGTAGAGGAAGGTGCAAAAACATTGAAAGTTGGTAAGGATATTTATACACAAAAAAAGAGAAATGCTTATAAGATTAACCCTAATACTGGTGTTTATGGAAATGTAAGAATTGACGTACCCAAACTTTATGGCCAGCTTAAACTAATTGCTCATAAGGATGGTAAAAAAGTATATGATAAACAAGTGGACTTTGATACACTTGATCTGCTCACTAAGAGGTTCAATAGTAAAAAGAAGTATTCACCACTATCAAAAATGGTAGTTGATGACCTGAATAGAATAAGTGATATTCCAATTCACCGAGTAATAAATACAAAAAAATCGGTTCAGGAGTTGTTTATTATAACAACCCAGCTGATCTATTGGACAGATTGGAATTATTAGGTGGATCAATACTTGCTGGAAATAATGGTGTGGAAAATGAATTTTTCCAAAATTGCTCACACACTGAACAAATTAGGTGTTCTAAATAACAACCAGCTGAATAGTCTGATAAAACAGTATATAATGTAATCTAATAATATAAATGCAAGAAAGAGCAATCCATATTTCATCTGTTAATAGACAGAGAGAATCGGACAGAATAAAGCAGAAGATTTCATAATCAAATTTGATCCAGTCTTAAACTCCAAAGTAATATGACACATGAAATAGCCTTGGATAAGGCCACAATGACTTACAGTTGGCACAATATCTCAGATCAGTATAAAAATAACCAAATAAAATACTCACCTGATGGTGGAACATCATGGGAAACAGTCAAATATGTGGATGGAATGTACACTTACTCAGATCTAAATGACTATCTCCATCAGTACATGAAAAAGAAGGGCCATAAAACTACTGATGCAAAAAAGGATGATGTATACTACATTAACCTAACATTTGTATTATCGACATACAAGATTCTCATTAAGATCGACAACAATTACCAACTCGATCTGAGACATAGTAAATTTGGCGAGTTAATTGGATTTACAGAGAAAATTGTGAAGAAAACAGAACCTGGAGATAATCTACCCAATATCACAAATTCCATAGACATGATCCATATCAATACCGATGCTATTACGAATAGCATATTGAATGGTGTTAATACTAATACGTTAGCTGTTATTCCAACTGACAATTTGACAAGAAGTTTCCCATTCACATTTGATCCCAGAAGACTATTGTTTAATGAAGTTTCCCAACTTAATATTTCACAAATGAGGTTTTATATCACAGACTCATTCGGGCGACCAATTGGACTAAATAAGATTGACTGGTTTATGACATTGATATTGCGATCCAAACCAGCATAATATGTAACCTAATAATATACAATGAGACAATCAGAATTCAAGAAACGTTATGATGTTAAAACGGGGAGATATGTTAAGAAGCATATTTATGGAGAAGGTGTTACCGATGTTTTCAAAACAATTGGTAGAAAGCTATTTGGAAAGACGATGAAAGAGGCTGCTAAAACAGCAACAAAAAAGGCCGTTCAAAAAGCTGCTACCAAAACTGGTGAATATGCGGGCGAAAAAGCCGGTGATAAAATTATTCAATTATTAAGCAAAAAGAATAAAAAGACACCAGTAGCAGCATTACCAGTAGCGACATCGCCAATAGAAAATCCACAATCAAGAGAACTCACCGATTACGAAATTAATGAGAGGGTGAATCAATTACTATCTGGAGGCCAGATGAGAAGATTTATGTAATCTATTAATATAATGGAATCTTTTAGAGATCCAAAGTATGTTGAACGATATGAAGATGTTATTTTTGACCTAGAAACAGCACTAAATACAACTGTGGCCATTAATGCTCATCAGAAGAAAGATGGCTATAGGTTTGTTGTTGATAACAGTGGTGAGGTTACACCATTCGACTGGTATAATGCCCGAATCAGTGTCAATTTCAAAGTAGTCTTGCTGGATAATGGAGGCAATATTGCAGTAGCAGATCATAATGGTACTGTAAACGGGTCATACTCACTATTGAAACATTTTGACATTAAACTAAACGGTAAGAAAGTGTATGATTGTAATGACGCGAATCACGCGGTAAATATTAAGAATTTGCTTGAGTACAGTCCCGCTTACGCCGCACAAACCGCCAGCAATGAGTTTTTCTATCTTGATACAACAAGACACCCAGAGGAAACAAAATTCACTAAAAGACGAGTAACTCGTAGAAGAAATGCTGCCAATAACGCCGATGATGCAGGATTAATGTTGGATGATGTAGTAGCTAATTATAATAAAGGTTTTGCCCTTCGAAAAGGACTCTTAGGTGTCTCATCTAAAGTAAATACAGAAATACCACTGAACAGATACTCATTCTTTGAAATGTTAGAAGATGAGCTGTTACCTAATACAAGAGTTGAGATGAATTTTGAGATTGAGTCAGATGGTAATCTAAATTGGCAAGCCGGGGCTAATTGCAGAGTGGTTATCACTAGGATGCAATTGTATGTACCACGGATAACCTTCAATAGTGAGGGCCAATCATCCTATATGAGCCAATACCTTAAAAATCATAAGTGGACTTATTTGAGAGAAAATATTGAAAGATCAAATAGTAGCCAGCAGAGAGCTGGGCATTCAGAATCTCTTCTGGTATTTCGAAACCCCGACACGTGTTTGTGTTTATAATCAATGATGCGAATATCGATGCCCAGACAGCTAATCCATTCTTGTACAATACATTCTCTGTATCAACTGACCCAAGAACCTTATCCAATTGTCACCTGGAAGTCGGAAACGGAAACGAGTATCCCGAAATACATTACACACCAAGTACTGATATGACTAGAGTCTTCAGGGATGTTCTGAAATATGTTCACAAAAATAATGAATACGGTGAAGGGTCATTACTCAATAAATCTAATTTTAGTAACCTGTTTCCATTCTTATATTTCGACCTAAGAAAACAAAAAATGGACATTAAGGATGGCACCACAAAACTGACATTTAAATATGAGCTATCTGGAACAACGACAACAGCCTACTCAATTTACGCATTAACATTATATGAGCAAGATGTTGAGCTAATACAGAAAGATGGCAAAATAATACTCAGATCGTAAATTGAATATGGTTAAAATTATGTAACGTATATTATATATAAGTAATGACGAAATATTATCCTTACGGTGTGTCACTTAGTAAAGGACAATTGGAAAAGCTTTCGAGAGCTTATAATAATAACTCAGCAATAACCATCAGATTAGCCAGAAATGAGTTATCCGGTCCACACGAATTAATGCTCACAAAAACTCAGATCAATAAGCTGAGAAAAGCAATGAGTCAGGGTACAGGATCGGATATCAAAATATCAAAGACACAAATCAGAAAGGCTGTTAGACAGGGTGGTAGTTTGTGGGGATCATTAACCAATTTAGGAAGCAAGTTATTACCTATGGCAATGCCCCTAGCCAAAAAAGCTATCGCACCGCTTGCAACAGGAGCGTTATCAGGATTGGCCAGTTTAGGTGTGGATAAAATATTCGGGAAAGGTCAACAAGGAGGTTTTCTTATTTCACAGGAAAAAATAGCACAATTGATTGCGTACAAACATTTACTATCCACAGGCCAGAAAAGGGATATTCTCAATGCTCTCCAAACTGGAAACGGATTAGTTATCAGACCGACGAATACACAGCAGGGTGTTTTTTTAGGAACTCTGCTAGCGAGTATAGGAGTCCCCCTGTTACTAAATGCATTGACGAGAAAAGGACTGCAGGCTGACAGAACCGGTTCCGCTAATACAACATCTGTTTATGTTCCCTATACAGCTAATGGTCATGGAATGTATAATCCGTATCCTTATATGTCACCACCCTTCTTTGGAACATGGGAAAATCCAGTTGGTATGGGAGTAAAAAAAAAAGAAAGGGAAAGGGACTGCTGCTCGGAAAAAACAGCCCATTCAATTCAATCCCAATTCTAGGAACAATACTATAAAATTCATCAACAAACCGTTATCGAATATTGATCTGTTACAATGGGTCAAACAATTAGGAATAAAATATTTTAGGGGTATTTACAGCCGTGATAATTTACCAGACAAAATACACAAATTGGAAACAGGAATAATTAATTTAGATGATTCAATGGGCGGGGGCAGTCATTGGATTTGTTATAGAAACGTGGATAAACAATATTGCGAGTATTTTGATCCGTTTGGATTGATCATGCCCAATGAAATCAAAAATTATCTGAAAACAAGCGGTAAAAAAATGGTGTACTCATCAGATGAAATACAAGAAAGAGAGTGTTTTATGTGGTTATTGGTGCTTATATTATCTTTTAGAGAGACAGAAGGGGAAATCATTATTAGACGTTATACACAACCCCAAATTCAGTTTTACAAATCAAATGATAAATCACCAATTTCTGATAAACTATTTTATGTAACATAAATATATAATAATGGTGAAATCTTATTGTGTTAAACAGGAGAAGCAAACAGAATGTGTAGAACCTTCGGGTTATAAAACTGCCAAAAATGGTAGACTTATGTTTTGGTGCACTTGTGCTGAATGCGGAATAAAAAAGTTTAAGTTTGTCAAGAAGGGAAACTAATTGGGCCCTCTCAAGCAGGGGGCGATTTATTTGACACTGCTGTAAGAACCGCTACTGATCTATTTGTACATCATGCCCTACCATATATGGCCAAAAAGACCGTTGAGATGGGCAGATATTACGGGTCAGAAGCATTACGTAATAAAAAGTTACAGAAAAAAGCTATAGATTATGCTCTAGATAAATTGAATCCAATGATTCAGAATGTCGGTTCTCAAGCTCTTGACCAATTATCAACCAAAATACGACCAAAGAAAAACTACAAAACAAACAGAAAAGATCTTGATGGAGGTGCTATAGATATCCACTAGCAGATTGGTAAATTACCAAAACCAGCAGGTGGATGGACTTTACCAGGAAATCGGTATACAGGCCCTTACAACGATCTCGAAAATCAAGTCAGATACAATCCAGAAACTGGTGAAATATTATAAATTTATGATCCGCCAACTGGAAAGACAGATGCTGTAGCCATGCAACATGATGTCGATTACAGTGTTTGTGGTGATAACCGAAAGTGCAAAAATAAAGCTGACCGTAAAATGGTAAAATCATTAGACGCCATTCCCTATAATGAACGACAGTGGGGACACTGGTTAGCTAGAAATCTAATAAACACAAAACAGAAACTTGGTCTTCGTTTAAACTAGAAAAGCCGTCGAGTAACACTTGGCAACAACAATTAGCGGACGAATTACATAAACCAATAAAACGCAACTTTACTCGGCGGCGTGTTATTACAACCGGTATTGACAAAATTTGGTGCTCAGATCTGGTTGAGATGCAACAGTTCAACAAATGGAACAAGGGTTATAGATATCTTCTCATGGTTCTAGATCTATTCTCCAAGTATGGCTGGATTGTCCCACTGAAGGATAAGAAAGGGGAAACTGTCACAGAAGCATTCAAAACCATCTTTAAAGAGGGCCGTAAACCACAATATCTTTGGACTGATAAGGGGAAAGAATATTACAACAAAAATATGAAAGAACTGTTAGAAAAGAATAACATAACACTATACTCAACCGAAAATGAGGAAACATCTAATGTATGTGAAAGATGGAACCGTACAATTAAAACCAAAATGTGGAAGCAATTTACTGTCCAGGGTAATACCCAACATCTTGACATACTACCAAAAATACTGAAGCAATATAACAACACCAAACATAGTTCCATTAAAATGACACCTGTAGAAGTTAGTAAGAAGAAGAATGAAAGTACTGTGTATAACAATCTATATGGTGATATGAAGCAATTGTCATCTAAGCCAAAATTCAAGATTGGTGATAAAGTTAGGATAAGTAAGTACAAACCCAATCACGTACAGATTAAAAGATCTCAATAATGAGGAAATACAAGGCAGCTTTTATGAACCAGAATTACTACCAGCAAAACAGGATGTATTTCGCATTGAAAAGGTCATTCGGAGGGATTATAAGAAGAAACAAGCTCTTGTAAAATGGTTAGGCTATAGTGACGACTTTAATAGTTGGATTCCACTAAGCAACCTACAAGATTTATCTAACTAATAGTATATATGGACGATCATATAAGAAAGCTTGATACTAAAATCCAGAGTAAGGAATCCGAACTTAATGCACTATTCACTAAAATCCAAAAATTGGAAGAAGAAATTGCGACATTATACCACAAGAAATTAATCTCCAAAAAACTGGAATCAGCTGAGATGACATTAACAGGCGTTTTAGGTGCAATCTTTGAAACAGAGGAAGAAGAGGAAAATGAGTAAACTATTGTCACAAACTAAAAATTTAATACACCTTTTTTACATTCCATAATTATATACATAATATATATGTATATGTGGAAGATTTTATCACTCTTTTAGCCAAACAACAATCTCTATCAGGAGGCACTAGTTTAATATCTATGTATATTCCTCCAAATGGTAGAGTAAGCCTTAGTAAACAAAAGTTGACCAATGAAATGGGACTTGTCTCAAGTATTAAGTCAAAAGTCGCACAAAAACACACAAAAACCGCTCTAAAATCAGCATTATAGCAACTAAACCAGCTAAAAGAACCAAGAATTTCATGCCGTGGGTTGTTACTACTATCTGGCATCATAAAAAATACTTGTGAAGGATACAAAGGATCAGTACTCATTGAGCCTGAGCAAGCAATAGAAAAAGCCGATTATAAATGCGGCAAGAGCTTTTATTTAGATCCTATTTTAGATACTTATAAAAAGAAAATAATCGAAGATCCTATTGTGGATAAAATATTGGAAAGATTCAAAGAGCAGAAACAGACAAAATAGATTTTGGACTTAAAAAAATAACCAATAATCATTCTCATGTTGTATTCACAAATGAGGATAAATATCAAAAATATCAAATAGATCCTAACTCAAAAACCAAAATAATATATAGTCAAAAGCTATTTCAGTATGGTGATATGGTTGGGCTTCGATATTATTAAAAAATAAAATATATATATAAATTCTAGGCAAACCGCCCAAAACCGGTTCAAACCAATTTCTGCGCTATGCACCAGTATCGAGCGCCCAAAATGCGGTCGTCAGCAAAAACCCCAAACCATATACTATGCGTCAGTACCCCCATGTCTAATACCTCTGTTACGAGGCATCAGTAAATCCTGAATTTGGTTCGACTCTGGTACGACGTCTGAATCAAAGTTGTTTTCCTGCCGTGCTATAGTCGAACCAAATTACAATTAAGTTCGGCACGATAGAAGCACGACGTCTGAACTGGGCCTAAGATTACAACACACGGGTCAATATTGTGTTTACTTTGAAAATTCGCAAGCGGCAAACTGCGATAGCTCAGTTGGAATGATGAGATTGAAGGAGCAGTATAAATCTTCATAGGACTATGAATAACATTGTGATGACTTTTCAAAGCCGGTCGGCAAAGGTTGATCCTACAAATATCCACAAGAGTGGTTAATAACCAAAATCTCCTACTGCCTGCTTGTTTGCTGCTCACAACATTAACGTCATCTTTGAATTTCAAAAAGTAACGCACGCATGCGCATTCTGTTTTTGTCTAGGCGTTTCCCGCCCGTTCGCCTCGGATACGTCACCGAAACAAATTGACCGAGAGGGACTGGGAAAACGCCGTACAGGGACTAGGCAAGGGTATTATGTCGCCACAGTTGCCCGGTTCGTTCACCAAGCTTGTGAGTACAAGGGAAACTTCCATTTTCTACTTTCCTAACCAGAAACGAAGGAACTACCGATGAGTCGAAAAACGTTTCGGATGCTATCAGCAGGAACAATTCATTTTGCACTGAGAAAATTATGTTTCTGACGGATCACAATGTATCGTAAATAATAGGAAGTTTAAGATGCGGCGGCGACGAGATAGTAAAAAAGCAATAGCTTGACAAGGCAAAACAACAACTTTGCACGTGCATCACGCATTTTGCACATTTCTTTGCCGTCACTGCACGACTACCACGTGAAAATGNATATAAATTCTAGGCAAACCGCCCAAAACCGGTTCAAACCAATTTCTGCGCTATGCACCAGTATCGAGCGCCCAAAATGCGGTCGTCAGCAAAAACCCCAAACCATATACTATGCGTCAGTACCCCCATGTCTAATACCTCTGTTACGAGGCATCAGTAAATCCTGAATTTGGTTCGACTCTGGTACGACGTCTGAATCAAAGTTGTTTTCCTGCCGTGCTATAGTCGAACCAAATTACAATTAAGTTCGGCACGATAGAAGCACGACGTCTGAACTGGGCCTAAGATTACAACACACGGGTCAATATTGTGTTTACTTTGAAAATTCGCAAGCGGCAAACTGCGATAGCTCAGTTGGAATGATGAGATTGAAGGAGCAGTATAAATCTTCATAGGACTATGAATAACATTGTGATGACTTTTCAAAGCCGGTCGGCAAAGGTTGATCCTACAAATATCCACAAGAGTGGTTAATAACCAAAATCTCCTACTGCCTGCTTGTTTGCTGCTCACAACATTAACGTCATCTTTGAATTTCAAAAAGTAACGCACGCATGCGCATTCTGTTTTTGTCTAGGCGTTTCCCGCCCGTTCGCCTCGGATACGTCACCGAAACAAATTGACCGAGAGGGACTGGGAAAACGCCGTACAGGGACTAGGCAAGGGTATTATGTCGCCACAGTTGCCCGGTTCGTTCACCAAGCTTGTGAGTACAAGGGAAACTTCCATTTTCTACTTTCCTAACCAGAAACGAAGGAACTACCGATGAGTCGAAAAACGTTTCGGATGCTATCAGCAGGAACAATTCATTTTGCACTGAGAAAATTATGTTTCTGACGGATCACAATGTATCGTAAATAATAGGAAGTTTAAGATGCGGCGGCGACGAGATAGTAAAAAAGCAATAGCT